TAAGGAATAATATGAATGTTGATTATTTGTAGTGTTGTAGAAGATTATTGTACGTTTTCAATCATTGTGATACTTGTTTAATTATGATATTTTATGCTACATTACTAAAGGATACAGAAGAAGTGTACGTAGGTTGGTTTTTTTTAAAAAAAATTGTTTAATCAATTCTGTGACATTGGAATAGTATTTGCAAAGAATACTATTGTGATAGGCTCCTAGTGTGTTTATTTAAGAAAGTTATTTGCAAATATCACGATCATTTGCAATTTTTAATAGATAGACACGTTTTTTTTAGAAAGTGGCTTTCTTACCTTATCTATCTTTTTGTTATTCATTTATCTAACTTGGGTATTGTTTTATCATTAGGTCTTTCACGACCCCAAAGACGTCGACAATTAGTAATGCAAGTAATTGATGGATGAGCTTCGTTGTCGGGGTTGGTGTGTAGGGAACATGTTTAATTATGTAATTTTGTAATAGGTGTTTGAGAATACTAGTATATTCTAAATTAATATATTAGCTTCCTTGTTAATGTTTAATATGGTTCAACTTTGTTATCTAAATTAATATATTTGCGTGTTCGATCGACAATTTGACTATATGATATTTCTATTACGCGACATCTACAATCAAAATTAAATACATTTTCTCTGACTTTTTTTTATCGTCACAAAATGAAATCATTAGTGACGTTTTTAAACCGTCACAAAAATATTTTTTAGGACGATTATCGACCGTCACGAAATATTCTTTTCGTGACGTTTAAAAAACGTCAAGAAAGGATGTCACGTGATCTTTCCTCCCTGTCCAAGGTCTTCCCGTGACCTTGTATCACCGTCATGAAATCATTTTTCATGACGTTTTATGAACGTCATGGAAGTCCATGTCTTTCATGACGGTAATTAACCATCACGTGTACTAATTTTTGTGACGTTTTTTAAACGTCTCGTATACCTTTCGTGATGGGCGTATACGTGACGGCGTTAAAAACGTCACGAAAGATTTTTGTGACATTAAAAAAATGTCACGATAAACTGAATTTCTACTAGTGATCCTTCAAGCCTAATGCTCTCATGAATAAGGACTAACTACAATATGCAAATTGATGCTAAGCAATCAAAGAAAAATAAAAATAAGCAAGAAAAGTAAGAAAAAACCAAATTAACTCTAAACAATG